TACCAAGTGGTAGAACACATGATTCTATGAAAGTTTTCTTCTATACCATTTTCTGTGCAAATTGATAATAACGGTGTTATAGAGGATATAAAATCCACGATTTTCAGGAGCTGCAGTAACCTTACACCTCTAGCGCCGCAACAAAACTACGAATTGTTTAGAACTGCGGAAAATCGGACGGATTTGTAGCGGATGACGTATGCGACGGAAATCTAATGAGCCAATTAGATTCGTGCGTGAACACGACATGAACATAGACACTCAGTAGAACCAATCAAATATGGAATAGATCACTTGTCAATAGAAGCTGAGCCTGGGAGAAGCCATTTGAAATTCAAATCAGCTCCATCATGGCTAGATAGTGTGTAGGTTGTTAGAACCATTATTTCGATTTCATCGCAAAATATCAACAAAATAACGAAGCAAGCTTACTAAGTCTACGAGATCACGGTGTACTTCCAGTGGAAATACAATGCCCGCACTGCAAGATACTGTGCCATTACAGAAATGACAGACACCAGTGGGTTTGTGATGCATGGAAAAGGGCACCAAAACAGAACGAAGAAAGTAGTATAACTTTACTGTAAGCGATCGCAATTCCCGCCAACACTGACCTGAAACCCCTTCCCCGCAGCCTGACCCTGACGTGTCAGATACCAGGTTTGTCTGGGAAGATTTTGTAGACAGGGGGTGGGAGGGCAGCCCCCCCCCCTCAAAAGGGGTTTTAAGGGGGCGTAGCCCCCTATACAAACCGGAAATGTTGCTTGCTTGTATTCTACCGATATTTCTCGAAATTCTCTGATATATTGGCCTATCATACATACCCTCCCCAGCTATCGGGACCGATGCCGTAGTTATGTTTCTTTTGCGAAGGAAATGAGTGATAGATTCGTCCGAAACACGACGAAAGCTATAGAAAAGTTCACCCCCCCCAAAAAAAAAAAAAACGGTGTGGGGTTGCATTTCTAAATTTACCCAAACATCTCTTTCATGCTGAGTTTACAAACATCGATAGGAGCGTCCACAGCAATAAGAGAGAGACATAAAGCCAAGAAGTCAAATGCAAGCTTCAGTCTTAATACCATTATACACTGATCGACCGGAGTAACCTCTACCGCCGCTATACATCACCCAGCATGTGAAACACCCACCCACAAAGTACAAAATTCATTACTAATGTTAATAGAATGAATTTTATACTCTAAACAACTCAATAACAGCTCTTAATAGAAGAAAACTGTCTACCACACATATACGAAAATTGTGTTCATACGAGTGTAAACTGGAGGCCATAAGCCTACCGGTATAAGATTCCTCGTTTGAAAAGTTCGCATAGATAATCAAATTTGTGCGCATCAGTAACCTGGTTGACATTGTGGCTGCATTTTACACCAGTGGGTACGATTTGGTGGCGAGCGAGCTTCTCATTACACAAACTAATATGAAAAATCAACGACGGTGTGGATAGACAAGCCAGCTACAACCATAATTGTTGTAGGTTGTGGCGAAGTAGTAACATTATTGTGCATGTGCTAGAGCCATTCAAATTAGAACGTAAATTTTATTGTCTCCATGCGAAAAAAATAGAATTCTATTATCATTACTGTTATCATTATCACTATGGTAATAAAAATATTAAATATGAGGCTTTATCTGCAGCGCCAAATACTTGCAATTAGTTCAAGTTAGTGGGCGGAGCATCTACGCTGTCGGCCGTACGAAAATCCAACGGGTTAAAGTGTCGTACCGCTTGGACAAAACTAGCTTTCTCAAAAAAGAAAATGGACCGTGGTAAAAGAAATTTAAATGGCTTATATCTGGTTGATGGCACACAGAATTATTTTACTACATTTGTATAAATTACTTGATTGAGTTCCTTATTCCTAACATGTTATTGTTAAAGCTATTATTCATATAGTGATGTTTAACAATATGATGGTAAATTATGATACACTTTAAACAAATAATGTATAATAATATTAACAGTGCCTATGATAATAGCAATAACAGTACAACAACAGTGATGATCATAATGATTATAATACATTCATATTGCCTTTTTTATTAATTACGTCGACTATTCCAGCTATTTTTCGCTTGCAAACATTAATAGGAATCTCTTGTTACCTGATGGGTCTGATGATGTAAATTTCTTTTAGAAAAAAAACTATTCATACTTATACTTATTATGTCTATTACTATACTTATAATGATAACAAGAGAAGGTCAGAGAAGACTATTGTGACCATCGCCTAAGGCTAATTACCAAATAAAAAAAAATCAGTGGACCTCAGTGACCTAATGAGATATGTAAATCTTAAAATGTAAAAAAAAGGCTTCCTTGATATCATATCCGGCGGAAAATATGATAAAACAATATAAGAAGATAATTTATGTTAAAAAATAAAAGATTCGGCAGTAGATATGGCAAGAGTGGCGTGGCACAGACATCCTCCTCATTTACGAGATAAATGTCCCTTTCTCGGGCTCTAGGGATGATTCCGGAGGCCGGAGAATGCGTCCTTGTGATGTATTTGTAATGGGAAAGGAATGGCGCCGAAATTCCAACCCTGCAACCCCCATTGAAAATGCGGTTGTTGCCAACTTAAGGTCATTGTTTTTCCAGTTGTGGGAGAGGTGAGGAGGGCCTTACTTAAGTGTCATTGCATTACTTCCTGGAGTTCCAGTCCTGAAACTGTGGAGATCGATATATTTTATGGTATTGCATTACTTCCTGGAGTGATCGAACTATTATGGGATATTTTTATGTTATTGCATTACTTCCTGGAGTGATCGAAACTATTATGGGATATTTTATGGTATTGCATTACTTCCTGGAGTGATCGAACTATTATGGGATATTTTTATGTATTGCATTACTTCCTGGAGCGATCGAACTATTATGGGATATTTTATGGTATTGCATTACTTCCTGGAGTGATCGAACTATTATGGGATATTTTATGTTATTGCATTACTTCCTGGAGCGATCGAACTATTATGGGATATTTTATGGTATTGCATTACTTCCTGGAGTGATCGCATTGCATTACTTCCTGGAGTGATCGAACTATTATGGGATATTTTATGGTATTGCATTACTTCCTGGAGTGATCGAACTATTATGGGATATTTTATGTTATTGCATTACTTCCTGGAGCGATCGAACTATTATGGGATATTTTATGTATTGCATTACTTCCTGGAGTGATCGAACTATTATGGATATTTTATGTTATTGCATTACTTCCTGGAGTGATCGAACTATTATGGGATATTTTATGTATTGCATTACTTCCTGGAGTGATCGAAACTATTATGGATATTTTATGTTATTGCATTACTTTCCTGAGTGATCGAACTATTATGGGATATTTTTATGTATTGCATTACTTCCTGGAGTGATCGAACTATTATGGATATTTTATGGTATTGCATTACTTCCTGGAGTGATCGAACTATTATGGGATATTTTATGTATTGCATTACTTCCTGGAGTGATCGAACTATTATGGGATATTTTATGTATTGCATTACTTCCTGGAGTGATCGAACTATTATGGGATTATTTATGGTATTGCATTACTTCCTGGAGTGATCGAACTATTATGGGATATTTTATGTATTGCATTACTTCCTGAGTGATCGAACTATTATGGGATATTTTAAGGTATTGCATTACTTCCTGGAGTGATCGAACTAATTATGGGATATTTATTGGTATTGCATTACTTCCTTGAGTGATCGAACCATATTCGTCGAGGTCAGTCACTACCCAGAGACGGGGGGGGGGGGGGGGGGGCTATTTATTTGTTTATTGAAAATTTACTGGCGTCAACATCTCAGGTTATTCGCGACGTTACGAAATGTAGCAGAATTATAATAAAGTATTGTGGCAAAAGGGTTAAATTTGGGTTAACAAAAAGGCCAAATAGACATCAAAGGTTGTAGATCGCTGTTGGTTAGGTTGGTGAGTAAAAAGGGTAAAGAGGACATAACAAAGTACAAAGGCCGTTTAGGACCGACACAAAGCCAGCCTTTCGTCCTTTCAGCACGGCTCTCGCACTTTAGGATGTGGACAGAAAGAGGGGATGAAGAAGAGGAGGATAAGAGAAGACCATGCAAAATTAGTTGAGGCGAGGGCTGAGGTCCAAAGTAGGCGTGATCTCCCACACTGGGCCTCAGTCTCCGTCTCCTAAGCCCCACGGCGACAACGAGCACGGAATCGGAGGGTTAGGGAGACAAGCTTCGAGTGTCAAGTATTTCAGAGGTTGTCGGCTCTTACAGACCAACCAATAGTAATCATTGTAACGCCACGACCAACTACACCTGTCACATTGATATCGTATCCCTCTCATATTCCGTGCAATTGTTTCCTCACTTCTCTCGGCGTTCGTAGGGTGCGAATCCTGTATTTTACACCTCGCTAATCTTCTCATTATTGGATTGCTAAGGAAATGCAGTAATAAAGTGTTTTAGAAAGTCAATTTCTATCGGATAAGGGAGATTCTTCAATACAGGTGTTGGGTGTCATAATGTATATCAAGCAATGATGTATCACCACAATTCTGACTCAATTTAACATTAAAACAGACAAATAACATAATACAAAGTTACTGACGGGTTTGATTCTGTGCAGACTTAATCTGTTCTATACTTAGTTTAAAATTAATAGTCTCCAGAATCTTTTATCATATCAGAAAAAAATCATAGATGATAGAGTAAACGTCGAAAGGTTATTCCTATTCTAACAAATGTAAGTATAATGGCATATGATCTGCAAGCTGTATCACACCTGTTTTATTTAGTGGGGAACACCTTTGCTCGTCCCAAGCGGTCCCCGACACGTGTCTGTCTTCCCGTCCCTTTCGAGAAGGAGCTCCACGGTCCAAGGTCTATATAAGGAAGGAAAGATTGAGAGAGGAAGGATGAGGAGGGGGTAGAAAGGATGATTTAGTAAGAGAGAAAGAACCGGAGCTTGACCCAGTATGCGGGTTAATAGATGGAGGATAGATGACTGGATCGCTCCCAACCCCTGTGTTTATCCCCTGGGGCGAGGATGCGTGCCATAGAAAACGGAAAGCTACCCGGAGTGACTCACCTACGCGGCTTCGCTGAATTTGTTTTTCTTTTACGTTTTAATGTTTTCTGTTTTATTGTTTTAGGTGATATTTTAATAAACATTTTACGTTGTGTTTATATTGAGCCCTATGCCGAAGAATAGACCACCAAGAAAATGAATTACCAAAAGAAACATTTTATGATCTTTGATACTTTTTATATGAAATACTATGAAACTTTTACTTACATTTTCTAATTAATATTTTATGATTTTTTATCTTTTTTATTATACATTTCACATGATGGTTTTTCTCATTTTATTCTTTCTTATTTCCATGGAACTTTTATTCTTTATTCTATAAAAGGAACTTTAAGGACTATTTTTAATGAATATAGAAGATGTTTTAATTATTTTGAAAATAAACACAAAGACAAACATTGTTTTACTGTGTTTGCGTTTTATTGTGCTCGTGTTTCGTTTTATGTAATGTTTTACTTTTTGCTTTTACGGAATAAATAGCTAATTTTATAATATAGTTTTTGCTAAGTCCCCAACCCATGTAATAAGGAAGGCTGAACACGACCGTAGTGTATTTTAATGTTCTAATAGAGCAAACACTCGAAAACTCTAAAGTATATATAAAGCATCTATACACGCCTCTCCTTGGGATTCCAACCACGCTTACCCTCCCTTCGGCTCATTTACACAACGACACACACACGGGGGGGGGGAGGTTTTTTTTTCAATGTTTGATTATAGATACTGATATACGTGTGTGTGTGTGTGTGTGTGTGTGTGTGTGTGTGTGTGTGTGTGTGTGTGTGTGTGTGTGTGTGTGTGTGTGTGTGTGTGTGTGTGTGTGTGTGTGTGTGTGTGTGTGTGTGTGTGTGTGTGTGTGTGTGTGTGTGTGTGTGTGATGGCTGTGTGTGTGTGTGTTGTGTGTGTGTGTGTGTGTGTGTGTGTGTTTGTGTGCATGACTGTGTGTGTAATTCTGTGTGTGTGTGTGTGTGTGTGTGCATGGCTGTGTGTGTGTGTGTGTTTGTGTGCATGACTGTGTGTGTAATTCTCTGTGTGTGTGGTGTGTGTGCATGACTGTGTGTGTGTGTGTGTGTGTGTGTGTTTGTGCATGACTGTGTGTGTAAGTGTGTGTGTTGCATGGCTGTGTGTGTGTGTGTGTGTGTGTGTGTGTGTGTGTGTGTGTGCATGTGTGTGTGTGTGTGCATGATGTGTGTGTTTGTGTGCATGACTGTGTGTGTTCTCTGTGTTGTGTGTGTGTGCATGGCTGTGTGTGTGTGTGTGTGTGTGTGTGTGCATTCTGTTTGTGTTTGTGTGCATGACTGTGTTGTGTAATTCTCTGTGTGTGTGTGTGTGTTTGTGTGTGACTGTGTGTGTAATTGTGTGTGTGTGTGTGTGGTGCATGGCTGTGTGTGTGATTCTGTGTGTCAGTGTGTGTGTGTGACGCATACGACACATACATACATACACTACTGTCGCTCCTTTCCGCAATTCTCTTGGCACAGCATCCCTTCATACACAAAACACTCGTTCTCGAAGGTATTAGTCGGGTGGTGGCAGTGAGCTTTACACCTCTTTAACGAGCCAGGTACGTATTTTAATTAGCGAACGCCACGCTATAACAACCTACTTCAGAGAGAATTGTGGATGCCACTGTTTTTGCTAACTCTCTTCGAGGCAAATCCAATAAAGTTTTCTTTGGATATTTCATGATCATCCAAGTATTTATTTGTTTATTGAAGATTTTCCTCCGAGTCAGCATCTTTGGTCATCAGCGGCGTAAACAAAATATAGCAATAGAGCGAGGCTTGGCAGCGAAGCCCCCAGGCAAGGCCATACAGCATTATTATAAAGTATTGCGGCAAAAATGTTAAAATCGGTTTACAAGTAGGACACAGTATGTTATACGTCAAACTTGTAGAGCGCAGGTGGTTAGTGTGGTAGTTAAAGTTGTGTGTGTGTGTGTGTGTGTGTGTGTGTGTGTGTGTGTGTGTGTGTGTTTGTGTGTGTGTATGTGTGTGCATGGTAGTTAAAGAGGAAATAGCAAACTGCACGAAAGCCGTTCAGGACTGACAGAGCGTCTATCGCCCTTTCAGCACGGCTCTCACACTTGATGATGTGGATAGGAGATGGAAAGGAGGACAAGAAAAGACCATGCAGAATGAGTTGAGGCGAAGACTGAGGTCCCAGGCACCAGGGGTGATCCCCCTCATTGGGCCTCATTCTCCGTCTCTCAACCCCTCCCCCCCACCGACGCTAATGAGCATGGGAGTGGGGGTCGTCCAGGTATTTCATTATGATCTGAAAAAGTCTTTCACCTGTTGCTCCTACACGGTTATAGGTATATGTATTCTCCAAAGCCTGCAGTGTGTGAGTGTTTGTGTGTGTGTGTGTGTGTGTGTGATGGGTGATTTATGAACGAA